CGTTTCTAAACTTTTAGTCTCATTACATGGCTAATGTATGTCGTGCTATTTAACAATAAATACAAAGCCAAAATGCCAGGAAGGGTTACCACTTTTAAGCTGTTGGTCATTGAGGTTCCATAGACCCTCAAACATTATAGGCTTTTGCCACTGGCTTTGGTTACCCTCTAGAACTTGATGGTAAGACCCTATTGCTGAAGACACTACATAAATCAGAACATGGAGAAATCAAGTTGGTACTGACCTCAAAGCTTCATCTCTAGTAGCTATTTTCATAGGGCCAGAGCTACTATGCATGCTACTGGAGAAGAAAAGGAATCACCAGCTGTACCAAGTGGTGAATCTGCCAAGCTACCATAATGGCCTCCCTGACAAGATATGCACACTGGCCTAAGAATGGCACCAGTGTCATGGGAGTGGTCATCCACTTTCTGATAAGATTTAAGGTCTACTTCACAAGATGGAACCCACACCTGCACCTCTATTGGAGCCAGAAACTGTGATGAGATGAGTTACAAACTCATGATTCTGAGAAATGGGCATAGTATTAAATTGCTTCCTAAAGACTTATGGCTATGTATATACACGTCTCAATCCTCATCAGAAGATTCCTTCTGCGGTAGATGGTGATTAACACAGAGACCCACAACTGGTCAACATAAAGAGAATGAGAGCACAGTCCTAAACGGGGCATCTATATCACACACCATTGCTGAAGGACCACTGAGGAAGGGGCAGGGTTTGTAAGAGCCAGAGGTGGTAGATGACGGGGATGAAACTGAGTTTTGCAGACAGCAGTTAGAGGAATTTATCATCACTAAGCTAACGCCACATAGGCTATTGGAAAGAACTCTTAAAAGTGAAGAGAATGATGAAGAAATCCAAGAGGTTACAGCACAAACTAGAATGTGCCATGACTGTAACTGAACAAACAAGGGGATTAGAAAAACACCAAGCACTGAAGAAATTCAACAAAATGGCAGGAATTAGAAAAACACTCAATACCATAAAGCCAACAAAATGACAGGTATTAATATAGACTTTTCAAATAATAACTGAATAATTTTTATTGAGAGATTCATATAACGTATTGTGATCATATTTTCCCCTCCTCCGGCTCCTTCCACACCCACACCACCTGCCCGACCCATCCAGCATTGTGTCCCTCTTTTTCTCTTTTGACTCCGGTACTATCGCCTAAATATCCTTGGGCATGGAACCTGTCCTGGATTGTGGTAGAGCAGAAGGGTCACACCCTTAACAAAAACTCAGGTCCCAGCAGCCAAGTTTTATAGGTCCGAGGCCAGTAGTGGCACTTCCTGCCCACCTCCCCTCTCCATTCTGGGGTTTTGTCTGACTTGAACTTGAGTCGATCTTGTGCCTGAGGTCCCAACTGCTGTGAATTCAGATGGGAAGCTGCTCCACTGTCTGGAAAGCACTGTTTCCTCGTCACTGCCCACCACTTGACCTACAATCTTTCTACCTCCTCTCTGCCATGGTTCCTGAGCCTTGGGGAGGGGAGTGTGACATTGATATCCCTTTTGGGGCTGAGAACTCTCCAGTAACTGAGCACATGCAGTTCTCAGCATTTGGACCAGTTGTGAGTCTCTGTGGTAACTACCTTCTACTGCAAGCAGAAGCTTCTTAGGTGAGAGTTCAGAGATGCACTAACCTATGGGTACAGTAACAATTCTTTAGGAGTTATCTTAATACCAAATCCCTTTATCAGACTATTAGCAGTGAGCTCTCCCCTAGGGTCTATGACCTGTCTAGCCACAGGCTCTTGGCCCTGATACCAGTGTCACACACGGGTTCCATCTCCTGGAGGAGACCTTAAATATAATCAGAGGTAGTTGGTTATGTCCATAACATTCATGTCACTGTTGCACCAATGAGCAAATCTGACCAGGACAGACATTAGGGGAGAACTGCCACTAGCAGTCCACTAGATGAACACAGTACTAAAATGACTCCTGATGGCTAATTGCTGTATCTATAGATTAGTGCATCTTCCAAACCTCATCAGAGAAGCTTCTTTAATATAAGGCGATTATCACAGAGATCTACAAATGGTCAATATGAAGAGAATAAGAGATTATATTAGATATCTACATCATCCACCCCCCTATAAAAGCCCTCAGGGATCTCTGAGGATGAATGGGGCAGAAAGATTGTAAGACCCAGAGGTGGTGGATGACCACAAAGAAACAGGGTTTCCCAGCCTGTAAGGCAGCTGCACGTGTGGAACTCACTGTAATTGTGGCAGTGTGCACAAGACCTGCTGAAGCTCAGCCAGACAAAATCCCAGAATGGACGGTGGACGTGGCATGAAGTGGGCCCCCCCCCAAGCCGAGGAGCTGTTGGCATTTGATAGCTCCTGGGAGAGGGCAAGGCTGTTTTCTTTAAAGGTGTGACCCCTGGTAGGTCCGCTATCCAAAGTGTATTGGGGCAGAACAGATTCAGCTTGATGGGGCAGAAATGAACGGGGGGCGGATAGTGAGGTGGCAAGTGGGTCACGGGGGGAGTGAGGTGGCGAGTGGGTTGGGGGAGTTTAGGGGGATACGACCAACATACATTGTATGAAGCTCTCAAAGAAGTTTTTAAAGTTTTTAAAAATAATAAAGAATCAATTTTATAAACAAACAGGCAGAGACCCTAACAGGCACACATACTCATAACCATGCCAGCAAGTGCTGCTCCAACCAAGTGTAACGATGCACAGAACAGGCTTCCAGGACAGGATCACGGTGATCTCTTGTTCACTTTTCTCTCACTTCACTCTTCAGAGACTAACTGTGTTTTTGAGTCAGGAACAGAGCTTTGCTTATGAGACAGAAGGAAAATGTGTAAGAGCTTAGGCGATGCAGTCCTCTGACGTCACACTCATCTACCAAGTCACGTCCGCAAGGTGGTACCTTCGTTTTTCAAAATGCATCACAGAACACTTTCTTGTTGAAGCCCGTGTTTAGGAAACTGAGATGTGGAGTTGTCAGAGGCAAAGTCAGACCCTCTGGGCTCAGTCCTTGCTCTACCACCTGTTGGTGAGTGGTGTTGAGTGAGTTATATGACCTCTCTGAGCCTTAGCTTTCTACTGCAAGACAATGATTAATTAATGCTTTATTTCAGAAATACCAGAATTAAATGAGATAACAGATGCAAGAATACCTAAGACAGATTCTACCATATAGAGTTCTATGGGTTCAGATGGGAAAACAGACATCCTCAGAGCTGGGGACACTGTTCGAATTGGTTATTTACATAATACATGGCACTTAAAGTCACAATTGTCATTTTTTTTATTTATTAAGAACAATTAGGGGATAGAGACATAGTTCAGAATTTAAGGTCACTTCCTGTCATTACAGAGACCTGAGTTTGGTTCTCAGTACCTATACTGGTGGCTCACAACCGCCTGTAACTCTACCCCAGGGGATGTGACTACCTCTCTGGCAGGGTTGCTCACTGCACTCAGTGGGTACATACCCACAATGCATACATGCAATTTAAAATAAAATTTCTTAAAAAGAAAGAACAATTGATATATACTCCCAAAAGATAACAAATTTCTCTTGCAGATACTTTGTGTCAATAAGCACATTAGGCACAGGTTAATTAGAATATATCCAGCACCTCTTATACATTATTAATAGAGAGATGACGAAAACAGAGTATCTGGCGATACAGTACAGAATAATCAATACCATCAATCAATGTAAGTATTGTAGGCATTCCACACTGACTTATGAAATTTTGGTTGCTGTTAAATTTTAAGGCTTCCTTGATAGAAGCAATCTGGGCTAAACGACAGCAAGGCCTGCACTCTGAAGACAGTGCAATCCTCGGGAGGAGGACGCTGAGACACATACTAACTCTAGGTCTAAATTTCCTCAGCCAGACTTGCTGTGACTTATATTTCTATAATATCTTTGTCTGCAATAGTCTTCACAGGAAAATTATTACTCCTGTTTTAAAATCAAATGTTCACTCCATCAAAGTCTGCTGACCTGCACTAGGAGCCATGCTGAGTGTCAGGGAGACTTCCTCATCTGCTCACATCTACCCACAGCCCAGGAAAGCTGGCCTTGGCTGCACCCTCCCCTCACGTTCCTGCTCCGCTGTGCCACGTTGTCACAGAATGAGCTCCCCAGCTTGACGGGACTCCACGCGAACAAGGCCTGCGACTACTCACCTTCTCTTCTCCAGGTCACGGTTCGGGAAGTCTGACACAGTGGCACTCAATCAACCTTTGTTGGATGAAGTTATTCGTTATTTATAGGGCGTCAGTATAGTCAAATCTGTTAAGTGATTCTCTTGGTGAATTTTTGAGAAATAATAGCAGTTTTATGGTTAGAGTCCATTCTTTCCAAGTGTCTTTGCTCCTGCTTTTCTTACTTTATTAACAGCTTAGCAGCTGCCTTAAAACTGCTCCCACTGCTGGTGATGCTGAAAGCATGTGGGAGTGTGGGTGCAATGCCTGAAACCTGTTCCACCTCAAATCTGAGACACTTTAGGGAAAAAATTACAGGGGGCTTTTATTTAATTGGAAATGCCTATGATATATAAATGACTCAGTATACCAGGGGATCTGTCATGTTTTTATAATGATCGACAATAAATACTCAGAATGGGCACATGATAGAAGATATTCATAGAATTTGACATCATTATGCCAGAGTTTAGCACATCCTACAAAAGAGTAGCATTGATTAGTTAAAAGCACAATACAAATCTAATAGTTTCCGCAAGATCATAGAAACGTGCTGAATTATTTTTTAGAAAAATGAAAAAAACTCCCTTATTTGGCCGAAAAGGGAGGAGCTGTTCTGTAGCACTGCAAATCGATTTTGAGGCCTAAGCAGTATACACGTCCAGGAGACTTTAGAGAGAAGACAGAATTTTCATCTCCTTATTGTGAGATAAACAACATGCCTGGCTTTCATGATCTTCCAACAACCAAGTCCACTGGAAAGATGGAGGCGTAAGAACAGAGAAATACCTACTTGGTCTGGTGTTTGGATCCTTTCAGGTGAGCGTGATACTGTTCTATTGAGTTTAGGGACACACTGCAGATGGTGCATCTGTAATTGCGCCTCAGACCTGTAGATGACAGACAGACCCAGTTAGCTACATCAGTCACTTGAACGAATGTTATAATATTTACAAAGCTACAGTCCCAGTATCAGAGAGGACTTCTGGTCCACTACACAACCATGCTCCTCTGTCCCTTATTCCACAGTGCAGCCTCTAGAGGGGGTATGCAGCTGTTAGAAGCAGACTACCCCATTTCTGGATGCTTGAAGGGAAGAACAAACTATTTTGAATCCAAGAGAAGCATTTTGGGAATTTTATAACTCAAGCCACAAGCATGATGCCCTTTTCCCTGAAGTGTCTGGACATAGTTTTCATCTCTACTATGACAGGACCGTTGGAAAAAAAACTCCAACCCATTCCTTTCCACCTTCCGTCCAACAGCAAAACTGAAGCACACTTTCCTTGTTACTAACTTAGGTTTTTCTTCCAAAATTGTCTTATAAAACAAAAATGCCCAGGAGGACAATAAATCAATATGTTTTGCAGGCAGTCTGACTTTCTATCAGAGAGTTTAAAAGAAGAATCTATGCATTTACCTGTTTATTAATTTACCTCATTAATATAGAATCAACTTGGAGCTTGGCACTGGGAATCCCAAGGTAAAAAAGATGTGCTTTTCTGTCAAGGAATTTAGCAAAAATCTTGAGAGTTTTAGAACTACTTACTCATGCGAAGATAAACTTTCCTTACAAGACACCTTTAACTAAACTTTAAACCTCCGAGGGCTAGAAGCTCCACAATGGAGCGCATTCTTCCTGCTGGAAGGCTCTGTGAGAGTGGAGATGGTATTAAAGCTGTTGTAGACCTGGCAGGGGCTTATTCCCCTGTCCCATCGTTCCTGGGCTTGTGATATAGGGAAAGTCACTTGATTTTCTTTCTTCAATTTCCTCATCTATGAGATAAGACAAGCCCAACTGTATCATAATGTTGCTGCCATAACTAAATGCTTAAGATGTATTAACATCCTCAGCAAGTGAGACTACCTGTAATGGGTTTTACCAAAAACTTTTCCACTGTAAAAGCCATAACGTTGTATAAATGTGACATCGCTTTCCATATAATACATATTTGCTTTCTGAATGGCAAAGTTATTCTTAATTTTTATAAAAAAAAAAAGCACAATCCTCAAAAGATCTTTACAATCATGTGCCACATGGGCCACTTTATACAACTTATTGGACTTGATAGGCTTCCGTTCCCTTGTGACTGAGAGGGGAGGTCTGAATGAGAGACATTACCATAGGCTTGCTGAGGACCAACAGCAGTGTGATTCTAAGGAGATGTCAAAATGGAGCCCTGTGAGTTTCAAGCTCACAGCTAAAGCCCTGCAGTGGGTACAGACAGAAGGTGCACACACACTTCCAGAGTGCTGGATGAGTGCCACAGGCCAGGTCCCACCCTGAGCTGTACCTTTGTCACCAGTTCTACGAAAGAGACTGGAGAAAGAAACAGACTTTCTGAAGAGAGGAATAACTACTCAGAGCCTTGCCTCCCTCACTTGACAACATGGAATCCTCCTTTCCTTCCAGACTGTGCAACAGGACTCGGGGCAACTGCTTTGGGAGCATCTCCCTGCACTTGAGAAGCCATGCGTCAGACTCAGACACTCTGGTAAGATGCAAAGGACTTGTTTAGCACCTATGCTGGCAAAGTATGAGAAGTGGCATGGCTGGAAGAGCTTGTGTTCTCACAGCTTGTCAGGGTACATGGCGCATGAAGGTTTCCCTCAGACCTTAGGCACCGTGATAAGAGAAGCTGATTTTCAGTCCTAGCAGAGAAAAGAGACCTCTGCAGAAAAGGCCGCAAGTGTTCATCTCAGTATCTACTTGCTTAAAGTAGCCTGAGATGAGACATTTAACTGATGGTGAATCCCACAGGCCAGGAATGCACCACAAGAAAGTTAGTCTGTGACGCCTGCCAGGCAGGCAGCATCCATGTCAGCTTGCATCGTCTCTGCAAATCCCATTTTCTTTTGCATTGCTTCCCAAGCTTCCTCTTTGCACCTTCTACCTTTGAGGATCCAGAGAAAACCTACTGAGACAAACAAGATCCTAAGGCCCCACAAGACAAGCCCAAGCTCCGGGAGAGAGAAAGAATCTTACTACATCCTTGTTCATGACAAGCAACAGGCCCACCTGCTCTGAGTCCTGGGTATGTGGACATAAATTTTACATGTTGAAGAACAAATCCCACAGAGGCAATGTGGACAGGTGGTGGAGTCCAGCCACTGTCACCAGACTTCAGATCCGATGAGTCCTGCTGATGGGGTGTAACTGTGTCATTAGGTCTGTTCTAGTCTATGATGTGAGAAGGGAGCAGAACTTCTGGGCAGCCTCCACACTGTTATGGTCTGATGTGCATTTTGGAAAAACATATTTGAAATGTCCTGTATAAGTTGGGTTAGTCAGTATGAAGAATGACTTGTTTTTGTTTTTCTTTCAGTAACATAACTGGACACTGACTTACCTAATTATTCCATTTAGAGTCAACAAAAGGAGCTAGAATGTAGCTCACTGCCAGAGTAGAGTGTTTGTCTACCATGCGAGAGGTCCCACCTTTGATGCCTAACATCACATACACACACACCAAAGACAACTCATTAAAGAAGGAAAAAGAGAAAACTATGAAACCACAAAGATTTGGCGTCTTGTTTGGAAGCAGTGTTAGGAACTTGGAAGTTCACAGGTGTGGGCTGTCAGTTGGAGGTGAAACACACAATAGATCACTGGGATATTACTTCAGACTTCAGGCTATGGGCAGGATCTCTGGCACTCTCAGCAATATGCGGATGCCCAGGCAGAACCTTTAGCAGTTTCACCGGTGTGCAGATGCCCAGGGAAAATTTGGGCAGACTCTATTCAGTAAGTGGTGCATGGGGCCAGGAAACATGCAACTTTCAGACCATCGGCTTACTCCCACCATATACTCACACTTTAAAAAAGAGCTTCCCAGTGGGCTCATCCTTCTTTCGAAATTTCAATTTGTCCAACAAATTTCTTTTTAAAAAAGAAAACTGAACTACTCCATAAAGAATTGTGCTCTCACTGTCTTTCCATTTCACTGGTCTGCCTGACTCTTCTCCAAACCCAGAAGCTCTAAGTTATCGCAACCAGTGTGGAAATTGTCTGAATGCTTCTCCAAGGCTGATCCATTCTGCTCTTTTATGTACAGAATCAAAAAATGGCAACCAGCTTCAGGCACTGCTCCCTCCACACTTCTCCGTCAACCCCGTCATGATAAATGGCAACTACGATTTATATGAGTCCACTTCAGAGTTCACACTAACCAAAGGTCTCATAACACGTGGAGGTTCATTTGGTGATAGGAATAACTATTTATGTTTAAAATGGACACTTTAAAGAACACCAACAAATGTAAAAACTATTCTAATCCACTGCTTTCCATAGGTGATCTCATTCTCCTCAGCCAAATCAAGCCATGGGCTGAGAATGTCTGGCACTTTACAGCCTTGCAAACTACAGGGATCATAAACCGGAAGGCAGTGGATTGGACATAAACAGGAATGAAGGCAGACGAGGCAGAGGAGCCCTCCCACACAGGAAATGGTGTCCTCAGTGGGAACCTAGGGTTTATATTATTACTTAGTTGAAATACTAATTACTTGGAATTTTACAGCTCTTTTTTTTCTTAGGGAACTAAAGAATTTTATTACTAAATGAAAAATGCCAACGTTCTCCTTTAATCCATTTTCACCACATAACGCATTAAGATTTCCTAAAACCTGTGCAAGTCTAAAGGTTATTTATGCAAGATTTCTTAATATATGCTAGAAAATATAATCTATGTCTCCACGGAGTGGCCAGACATTTCAACCGGAGACAGAGCATGCAGACACATGGGACATGCTGGGCAGAGCATCAGAAGTACCACAAAGTAGATTAAACGAGATGGAGCTGGGACAGGAGAAGAGATTGTCTTTAACTTTGAGTCTGGAAGAAGCTTCTTGAAGATGCATCATATTTGCATTTATATTTCTTAGCGCACTGTTTATAAACATAGTTCTGGAGAGCTTAGCAGAATGTGACTCCTCCGTGTGTCTTTTCAAGTCTAGCAAAGCCAGAAGACCCTATAGCTGCACCCACGCTAGGTTAGAGGAATGTTTCTGAGTCTGTATCATGGTGCCAGATACTTTGCTGAATGCCAAAAGTATTGGAGATAGAAGGGCAGAGTATGCTTTCCGGTGGAACTAGTCAAGCAAGACAAAGGCTAAGCAAAAGCCGCTCCAGCTCCCTGGAAAGACAGATTAGTGCAGCTCTGGTTCTTACCAAACAAAAATGCAGAGAAGAAATGATGGACTGCTTGGCCCTAAATGTGACTCTCATCCCTCCATCCACGCTCAGGGAACATTGTGGAAGAAGGGGCTATAGATTGTGAGACTCAGACATTGAGGAGGACCGCTATGAAGCAGTGTCCTCTGGACATGACAGGGCTACAACACCAATGAATACACAGCAGCTGTGGGTGCCTGCACAAGACCCACGAGAGAGCAAGCCAGTCAGTATTCCAGCATGGGCTGGAGACAGGCTCTTGGAAGGTCCCGCCCTTGCTGAAGAGCTTTTGGTGGCATTTTTTTTTTTTAAGAGAAAAGTTGAATATATGGATATCTTTTAAAATTGCATCGCATGGGCTGGAGACAGGCTCTTGGAAGGTCCCGCCCTTGCTGAAGAGCTTTTGGTGGCATTTTTTTTTTTAAGAGAAAAGTTGAATATATGGATATCTTTTAAAATTGCATCAACTTAGAGCAGAAACCATGTAGTAGGGTGTTTGTAACATACACACACCTGGGGTATTTGACAACAAAGCTAAGAATGAGCTGCACAGACTAGAGCTACTGAAGATTGTGATGTCACATGAAATGGTGCAGCTTTAACTCTAAATAGCCACTGATAATTTAAGGAAAGTGATCATTCCAAAGAATCCCTTACAACAATCACTAAGAAAATAAAATACAAAGATAAAAGAAAAATAGAGAAACTAATGTAGAA